CTTTTGAATTATGTACTGCTCCTGTTCCTCCCTCATCGTGCCGTAGTTATCCTCGAAGAGCTCAGGTGCTGCGAACAGAACCCCTGAGCTCTAACCCTGTGTTAGTCACACAATTCTGTCTTAGCTGTGAGACTGAGCAGGTCTCTTCCTCTCACTAAGCCTTAGTTTGCTCATCAGTAAAATGGGGACAAGCAAGATGCTCTGGCACAAAGAACCTGGCAGGGCTCCTGGCACACAGTGGGTGCCAAATCCAAGGTAACTCCCTCCCTTGTACCGGGGGTGATGGGCCAAGTCCCCCGTCCCCCAGCTACTCAGCCACTCACCGGAAGCAGTGCCGGTGGTACAGCCTGCCCTCGACCAGGTACCGCTGCACCAGGTGTACATGCTGCCGGCAGGCCGCACACGTGCTGCTGGGGGTCTGGTGGGCACCCTGCTCCGACAGGCTGCCTGAGAGCTCCTCGCCCTGCAGGGAGAGGGATGGGCAGATTGGGGGCGGGGACACGGTCACCAGCCACCCTGTTCAAGAACACTCTCTCCCCTCCCTGTAATGGCCACATCCCTCAAGTGTGCACAGACCTTCATGGCCATAATGTACCTCATCAGAGCCCCAGGCAGGGACAGAGGACAGGAGACTGTCACCATCTCCCAGATGAGGAAACCAAAGCCCAGAAAAGGGGAAAAGCCTTGCTCAAGGTCACTGAACCAGCATGGAAACACGAAAATCCTGACTTCCAGTTTCTGAAGGTTCCCCCCACCCCAGTCCCTTCCCCTGGGCTACTCTTGCCCCCTCCTCCTCCTTCTGGGTGGGCCTCCCCGATGGGTTCCTGTCCCCTCAGGCCCATCCCATCTGCCTTCTCTGTCCTCTCTCCTAGAGCCGCAACAAATCTAAATCCCATTTTCTCTATTTCCAAGCACTGTGGCCTTGAGCAAGCTGCTGGAGTCTCTGGGCCTTGAGGTGCCACCTGCAAAATGGAACCGGAGAGCGCCTCCCAGTCTCAGTCCCACACCGCCTCACCAGGCGCCCGCCTGGCCTGCCTCTCTGGAGGCCCTCCAGCAAGGAGCAGATGGGAAAAGCCCTTTGCACACTGTAAAGTGCTGTCCAGATGTCAAGGGCTGGTGTCACTTCCTCTAAGACCTTGGAACAGGTGACGGGCAGTGTGGCCCCCACTTCCTCACTGAGTGGCCTTGGACAAATGACTAAACCTCGCTGAGCCTCAGTTTCCTCATCTGCATATCAGGACCCACAATACCGACCTCCCCAGGTTCTTGAGAGGATTAAACAAAATCATGCTGGGCAGTTTCAAGCTCTGTCTCAACAGGAATCAAGGGGAACACTTGCTTTACTTTGTGTGTAACTCCTGACAGTCCGTGGTGGCAAAGTCAGTGCTGTGGCCCGCCCTCTCTCCCCTCGCCGGACCTGGCATCTCCTGACCCTGCCCCGAGCCCCGGAGAAAGGAGTGGGGCTCCTGCCCACAGAACGAGACTGGCCTCCTGACGCGTGCCCCTGCCTGGCCAGGGAGACGCTGTTCCCAAAGCTGGTGGGCGGGGACAAAGAATGCCCTGCGAACACCATCAGGACTAACTTCCTCATGTGACAGTCACTGCAATGACAGTTATCCCCCCAACTCACCCCCTCCACCACACCCCTCCTACCACCCCAAGCATCCGCCTACCTGAGCCCCGTCTCCTGGTTCCGCTGGAGTGGGTGCTACAGATGGCGGGGAGCAGGGTGCCAGGTCCTTTCTAGGTGGTGAGACACCGGCTGCCAAGAGACAGGAAAGGGGCCCTGTGGCCAGTGGTGATCCTGGAGTCCCAGGAGGCACCAGCCTGGCTGAAGATCTGAGCCCTGCAGCCATCACCTTTGGGCAGGCCACCTAACACAGTGGGACAAAAGCAGGCTCCCGCTTCACACGGGCCAGGGGACAACTTCACCTTCAAACTATGCACTGAGGGCAAGCCACTTAACCTCACTGAGGCTCCATAAAATAGGCATAGTGATTCCTACTGTGCAGGGCCAATCTCAACAATCGTGCAACAGGACGGTCACAGAAACTACCAGAGCACCCCGTACGTGGCAGGACCGGCAGCTTCCCTCCCACCTGGGAAAGGGGGTGGGAGGACAGGAAAAGAAAGGAATCACATGGTGCTGGCCTGAAGGCTCAGGAAAGTGGGCTGGCTCCCTGGGGTCCTCTCCCCACGTGGGCAAGTGTGGCCAGAACCCCGCCTGCACTCCCCTCACCAGGAGAAACCCACCCACGCCCGGCTCCTCTAAGAGTCAGCTCCTGCATTACTACTTTGGCAAATATTTACTGAGCACCTACTCTGTACCCAGTGATCAATATAAAACCCAAGAAAGTCAGATAACTCTACACCCCCAAAAAAGTCAATTTTACCGTACAAAGATTTTAAAAATAAAATTCAGTTTCCTTACTGTGATCTAAAACAGCATTGACCAAACTTCAGGTCAGAGTCCATTAATGGATCCTGAAACCAATCTAATGGATCGCAACCAGCACATTTAAGAGATGAATAGAATGGAAGCCAAGTGCAGTGGCTCACACCTATAATCCTAGCACTTTGGGAGGCCCAAGCAGGAGGATTACTCTTGGCGGGAGGCCAGGAGTTCAAGACCAGCCTGGGCAACATAGTGAGACCCTGTCTCTACAAAATATTTGTTAAAAAATTAGCCGGGCATGGTGGTGTGCACCTGTAGTCCCAGCTACCAGGGAGGCTGAGGCAGGAGGATGGCTTGAGCCTAGGAGTATGAGGCTGCAGTGAGCTGTGACGATGCCACTGCACTCCAGCCTGGGTAATAGAGTGAGACCCTGCCTCAAAAAAAAAGAAAAAAAAAGAAAAGAAATATCTGCAGGCATCACATGTTTTAAAGGGAAGAATCATTTCCTGAAACTTGCTTCAGTTACACATGTATGCATGAACTTGGATTTGATGGGAAATTTATTTCTTACTGTGAGTCATGGTCAAAATTTTGGAAGCCCAGCAGCCTAATCAAGTGCCTGCGTGATCTTTCCATTCCCCACCATCCCCCTCTGTTCTCTTCGCCTCCTCCCCCATGACTCCCCAGCAGCACAGACCTCCTGCTGCTCCCTGGACTGGAACATTCCTCCCCCATCTTCACAGCTCCTCCTCATCCTCCTCCCCTCTAAGGCTCAGCTCATATATCACCTCCTCAGAGAAGCCCTCCCAGATTACCCATCTAAAGTAACCACTCCTTCCCTCCATTGCTTTTTATCCCATTACCTTATTTTGTTTCCATCACTGGACTCATCTGAAATTATATCGCTTATTGATTTGTTCTTTCTTCCTCCCCCATCCATTAGAATGTAAGCTCTGTGAGTCTTTCTCATGCTCAGCTGTCTCCCCAGCAGCTAGCACAGTGCCTGGCACACAGCAGGGACTCAATAACTGCTTGTTAAATGAATAAGTGCCACATGCTGGAGCTGCAGAGCTGTCAACTAGACAAGATGGTCGGCAAGGGAGGAAAGGGATGGGTAATCAAGACATTCTGACTATGTTCACCATGAGGCAGGGGCCACGAGGGCACCTGGAATATCAAGGCAGGTTGCTTGGAGGAGGCAAAATGTGAAGATTAGAAGATGCGCAGGAAAGAATCTGCCGGGGGTGAGGAGGGGTGGCACAGAATAAGGTGTTTGGGGCAGGAAGATCAGCAACGAGAAAGGCTTAGCAGTGAAGGGATAAGATGAATTTAAAGAAGACAGGAAATTCAACAACTCCATGGTCGGTGCAGGGAGTGGCCCCAGGGAAGTGAGGAGAGGCCGTTAGAGGCTACACTGAGAAGCTGGACTTCACCCTGACGGTGCCGGTCCCCACCACCTGCGGGCAGGTGCCCCTCGTGTGCTTCCTTCACTCGCACCCTGGCTCTCTGACCAGGCTTCGGCTCCTCCAGGGCAGGGGTCGGTCTGATGTGCCCAGGGTCACTGGAACCCACTAAGCACGGCACAATCTGAACACTCAGCATGGCGCTGGGGCACGCTCCAAAGTCACCCAGTCCAGTAAAAGTCAAGCCTGGTCTCAATCACCCTGAAACGCCTCCACTCTCCCAGAAAGTACAGTACGAGACCGGCTGGGGCGGCCCGACAGCCAGATTTGCCTCCAGAGTTGGAACACATCGCTGTTTCCTTTGCTTGAGCAGCAGATGGGATAAAAATGGTGTGCATTCAGAGGCCAAGCTGTACGAAAAGCACAAACTGTACCTTTATCAACGAGAATCCCCGAGGCAAGCGGGGGTGCTCCCACCCAAGCACAGCATGGGGGCTGGGCCCACCAGGGTGCCAGGCACCACCAACAGCCACCCCACCCCACTCACCCCGCAGGTCCCAGAGAAGAGCTTCGTAGAGGGAGTTAGGTTTGGCCACAGGGAAGCCTCTGGGGGCGAAGGCTGAATGGTGATCCTGAGTAAGGGCTGAACCCTCGTCCACGGAGAAAGAAGTAACGTGAACACGAAGGCTGAACCCCAAACACAGCCCAGACACAGCCTTACACTTCCTTGTCTACTCCTCACTTTAACCCTGGGAGGTGGGGCACTGATCTTTCCCCACTACAAAAGGGAAACGGAGGCAGAGAGATCAAGTAACTGGCCTACGGTCACCCAGAGAGTCAATGGCAGAGCAAAAATTTTAAGTCCATGCTCTTAACTCCCGCCCTAGACTGGTTTTCACCAAACACTCCAGGGTCTAGAAATACTTTCATTTTGATTTCTATTAAAATACACATAATGTTATCTGTTCAATGATAGTATTAATCCCTAGTGTCATATCAGGGGGAAGGGGAATAACAGATTATTTTCATTATTATGCTTTTGCTATGTTCTAAATTTTCTATAGCAAACATGTTTTACTTTTAGTAAAAAAAGAAACTCAACTTCATAACATATTTTTTTTTTAAAGAAATGAGCTGGGCCAGGCACAGTGGCTCACGCCCGTAATCCTAACCCTCTGGGAGGCTGAGGCAGGAGGACTGCTTGAGTTCAGGAGATCGAGACCAGCCTGAGCAAGAGCTAGAACCCGTCTCTACTAAAAATAGAAAAAATTAGCCAGGCATGGTGATTCACGCCTGTAGTCCCAGCTACTCAGGAGGCTGAGGCAGGAGGATCACTTTAGCCCAGGAGTTTGAGGTTGCAGTGAGCTATGATGATGCCACTGCACTCTAGCTGGGGCAACAGAGAGAGACTCTGTCTCAAAAATAAACAAATAAATAAAAAGAAGAAATGGGCTGGGAGTGTCGGAGGGAGAGTAGAGGCAGAAGTGGGACTGAAATGGGGTCCACTCAGGACCTATGGACAACAGTGACCCAATGTAAGATTCAGGACATCTGGATTCTCATCCTAGTTGCTCAGTTTTTCTGCTGTGTGATCTCGAGCTCCTTGCTTCCCCTCTCTGGGCCTGGTGGAAGGGGTGGCCCCACTGCCCCAGGAGAGGCTCCTGCATGGGGATGCCCCGTGACCTGACGCAGAGCAGAGGGGTAGCCTCCTAACCCCAGTTCCCCAGTTCCCAGCCTCTCCATTCTCGGGCCTTAAAGGTCACTTCTGTGGAAGACACTGCACGACAGCCCCACAGGACAGGGCCACTTCCCTGCTGGAGGAAAATCCCCGGGAAGTGTGTGCACACAGGAAGGGAAGGGGTGCTGGACAGATGAACTCACACACCACGTGTGGACTCAGCCTGTCTGTCTCCTCTGACAGTATCGTGTTCATTTTTTGGTTGATGTGTTTGTTGTCTGTCTCCCCCACATGACTATGAGCAGCGATCACGGTCACATCTGTGCCCCTGGGGACGAGCGCAGTGCTATTTTGCTCAGGAAATATTTGAAGGAGTGAATGAATGATGTGCTGCCTCCCCAGCTGCCTGCGGGCAGCTCAGAAAACAAGTAACAAACATCCCCAGGGCCGCTCCCGGGCCAGCCTCCCTGAAGGGCGGGGTCCCCTCTCACCTTGGCCAGGACTGGAGAAGTGGTTGTAATACTGGGACACGTAGGTCATGATGCTGAGGCAGTCGGGGACACTCATGGAGACCATGTCACTGGGGTCCAGGAGAGCAGGGATCCCCAGCTCCTTCTCGGCCACTTCAAAGGCCTGGGGTGGGGCAGGTGCGGCCGCAGCAGGAAGAGGCCAAGGAGCAGGAGGTGGCATGAGGGGCACCCTCAGCCTAGGTCCCGCTCCCCTGGGGCGATGGGGTGACTGTGGTCCCCTCAGCTCTAGTCCCACCCCAGCCCCACACAACGGCCTGGAGAAGGGGGACCCTGAGGGTCCCGGCACAAGGGCCGCTGGGAAGCAGGCGCGGGGAGAGCAGCAGCTGGGCTTTCTCTGGGGCCTGCGGCCCACGTGGAAGGGCAGCCAGCCCGCAAGACCCCTGCCCTGCCTGGCAAACACTCGCACTCACGCACTCACACACGGTCGCACACACTCACACACGTACACACAGTCACACACACACATGTACAGTCACACACACTCGTTCTCACACACTCGCACTTGCTGTCACACTCACACACTCTCATACATTCTCTCTCACACTCTCACACTCTCACACACACAGCCTCCCGGGCTTCCACCCGTCTGGGGACTCACCAGACGGTTATTCTCGAAGACATTGTCCTTGGAAAGTGACTCGAAGTCTCTGCAAGAGGCAAAGAGAGGAGGATTGGTAAGAGAGGCCGCGGGGCTGTGGAGTCAGCTAGGAGCTGGGCAGAGGTGACCTCCTCCCGGAGTCAGCCTCAGAGGGACGGGGGAGGGCATCCGTGGGCTGCTGAGGAGGAAACTGAGGCAGCAAGCACTTGCTCCTGGAGCCAGGGCTGCCAGGTGGGGGCAGAGTGTTAGCTCGCTGCCCCTGGAGGCATCCGCGCAGAGGCTGGGAAATCACTGGAAGGGCGGGGCTCAAGCCCAGGCTTTCAAGTTTAAGATCCCTGCCCTCTCTTCCAGGACCCCGTCTCAGTCTCCTGAGTCCCTGGCAAAGACGGCTAAGACCAGGACTAGCGCTGGTAAGAACCGCGGCATCCGCCGACTGCTGGCCTCACGCAGGCCCCGTGCTGAGCTCCTGTGTCTCATTTACTGCATTTTCACAGCAACTCTAGCAGGTATTTATGTCATTTTACAGATGAGGACGCTGCGGCCTAGAGAGGGGAAGCCACCCAGCCCTTGGAATCCACATTTCCGGCCCTTCCACTGCATGTCACAGGCTCCCAGAAGCCACACCAGCTTGCTGAATCCCAATCCAGCCCAGCCTGAAGATGAATGTTTCTCTAAAGGGGCCAAGAATAGAAGAACAAGTTTGAACCAGAGTGGAAACGGTACATACTCCAAGCTGCTGGCACCGACCGGCTGGTCAACCCTGCTGGGCCACTCCTGGGGACAGCTTCCCTTGGGGAGGCAATGAGGGGTTTTTCCAGTTTCTAAGCTGGGACAGGTGAGAGGCAGGAGGCTGCCTGGGGAGCATGGGACAGCTGACTGGCCTGCTGGCTTTATTTATCCCCCGCCTCCCCCCCAGTCCAAGCGGCTGGAGGTGCTGAAACCACAGGAGGCAGCTCGGGCTTCCTACCCAGCAGCCTCCTGGGGCACCGAGCACAGCTCTGCCCTTCTAGGGCTGAAAACTGCAGCCTCGCTGACTGTGGAGATGGGTGGGCTCAGATTGGCCACAGCAGGCAGATCCTCCGAGGCCTGGATCCTGGGCCCTGCTCTTCCAGGCCGGGCCATATGACCTTGGGCAGGTCAGCAGTCCTTCACCTTCATTTTCCCACCTGCGAATGAGGGAAAGCACTAGTACACCCCCCCTCCCCGGCTGGTGTGAGGACGGTAGAGTCAGGCTTGGTAAAGGGCAGGCCTCGAAGACAGGAGGGAGCCGGGCCAGTACCCTCTTCCTCCTGCCCCTAACGTTTTTCCAGGCATAGGCCAGGCACCGTGAACCCTGGGCAGGAAAGGGTAGCCTGGGAACCCTGGAAGAGTCTGGTGCCCCAGGGTTGGGCAGACTGGGGAGAGGGGAGGTGACTATGTTTGAGCTCCAGCCCCTCTTCTGCCACCTGTGGCCAGGCCACTTCCTTCTCCCCTTGGCCGCCTCACTAACTCCCTGTGTTTTGCCACTGCCTAAAAGTGTGACCTTAAGCTAGCTATTTAACCTCCCTAAACCTCAGTCTCCCGTCTGTGACACCAGCCCAGCCCCCAACAAAGGCTTGTTCCCAGAACAAATGAGACAAAAGCAACTTGTCTCAGCCGTTTATTTCAGTCTCCCCAGCAGCGTTCCTAGAAGGCTGGGGTCACATTCTGTCCCACCTCTGCCCCCAACACCCTTCACAGCTTCCAGGATTTCGCAGACACTCAATAAATGTTTGTTGAATGAATGAATGCTGAAAACTGTGTGAAAACTGTAAAAAGCCCAGAATCCTACAGGTTTTCCTCCAACTTCTCCTCCCACCCCCATCTCCAACCCTAATCGACATCTGTGTTTTGGTAACGTAGATATTTTCTGAGAGTTTTTAGAGGCCCAGGAAGTTCTATTTGGCTCTAAAAGAGATGAAGGACACAACAATGAAATCCACATGGTCCCGGCCCTCAAAGGAGCTTAAACATGCCTGGATGGCGGGTATGGACCTCCCCCAGCAGAGGCCTAGGCCAACAGTGGGTTCACCCGGGCGGAGCCCACAGCTCCAGAAGCCTGAATCACTTTCCAAGATGATTCTTGCCCTCACCCCCAGCCTGGCCCTACCCTCGCAGAGATCCTCCCTACCCACTGCCGTGGCCTTCCCTACACCTTCTGTGGGACCTGGGCCTCAGCTTCTCTCCTGTGCAATGGGCCTGAGCACTGGCCTCCCTTGCAAATGAATTCCTGAACATGATTCTAGATCCCTTCTCAGACGGGGAGCTACGCTCCCCTCCATGCTTTCTCCAGCCACATCCCTCCTTTGCTTAAAACCCACACGGCTCCCTGAGGCCTGAGTCCACTCTCCGTAGCCAGCAAAGGAGCCCTCAGCAATCCAGCCCAGCCGCACCTCCCGACTCTCAACTCTCCTGCCTCGTGCCCCCGCTCCAGCAGCACGGCCTCCGGCTCTGCACACACCTCACGCTGTGCACCTTTGCTCAGGTGGGGCCTTGGCCAGAATGCCCTCCCCTCGGACCCTCACCTGGCTTCTGCCATCTCCTTGAAGATTACACTCTCCCTGAGAGGTTCTCCCAGCCCAGGCTCTCTGATATAGAGCACATGGAATTGTCATCACTGTTTGCACATCTGTTTCCCCTATAGGTCTGGGAGAGTCCAGGGTTCTGTCTGTTTTATTGGCTGGTATCCCCATTACCAGGTGTCCTGCACAGTAGCAACTCTACAAACACTTATTGAATAAATGAAGGCATAAAACATTGTCATCATCACCTACTGCCTAATAACACTACTTATAACTAATGTTAGTTGAACGTTTATTATCTCACGTAATCCTCACAATAATTCTGTGAGGTCATGTTATTGATCCCACCTTGCGGATGAGGCAACTGATGCCTGGAGAGATCCAGTGATTCACCCGAGGTCACAAACCTAACACATAAAGAAGCTCAACACAAACTGGGCTGAACACAAAAGGCTCAGGTCCACCAAATGGCTCAGTGTGACACCCAAGTGCCTTCTTACTCTAGGCCAGCAGTCCCCAACCTTTGTGGCACCAGGGATTGGTTTCATGGGAGACCATTTTTCCATGGACAGTGGGTGGGGGTGTAGGCGGAGCTCAGGCAGTGATGTGAGCGATGGGGAGTAGCTATAAATACAGATGAAACTTTGCTGCTCACCTCCTGCTGTGCAGCCCAGTTCCTAACAGGCCATGGACCGGTACAGGTCCTCGGCCTGGGGGTTGGGGACCGCATCTGTAGGCTGTTCCCTGCCTCCTGCCTGATCACCTGGCCCCCAATCAAAACAGAAGACCTCTTAAGCCCTCCACTCTAATGCATGGGTCCAATCCCAGTACCCTTCCCCTCCATCCTCCAAGCCCCTGCTCCTGAGCCCCCAAGCTCCTACCCTATGCCTCCACTACTACAGGTGGCATGTGCCCCACAGCAGGCAACAGCCACCTCCACCCCCACCTCCCACCTCATCTTTTTCCCTTCTGTATCCACACCTCCAAAACCCTCTCCTCCAGACCCAACACAGGGCCCAAGGCCCACCACAGGCACCGTGCTGCGTGGTAAACCAGGTACACTGCACCCCAAGTCCTGAGGCAGTCCTTCCAAAGCCCTTCCAGGTGCTGCCCTTGGGGAGCACAGATCCGGAGGTGGAAGACACAGAAAGACTCCAGACCCTGCCAGGCTTGGGGAGCCCTGACAGGGGGTGCTATAGGCAAGAGAGGCAAGGACCATGACTCATCCCCGATTTGCAGACGAGACCTGAAGCACAAGGAATGGTAGCACCAGATCCACTTTCACCGGGTGTTTTATGAATGAGTGGATGAAAGGAAGAGGTTCCAGGGCCCAAGGGAGCTGAGACAGAAGCTCCAAGTCAACTGTTCTGGGGGGCCTGAATATATTTTCCCACAAGAACCTTACTGGGCAGCTCTGGGCAGGAAGGGGCCATTTCACAGCCAGGAGCAGCTGGTTGGTGTCTGTCCATTGGATCCTATGAGTCTTCCAATGCCACTGTCCTCAGTCCTCTTCCTTGCTCCACCTGCCTGCCTCACTGAGGACAGCAGGGCCATGGAGCACATACCTGGAGAGGCAGGTCTGTGTCCTAATTAGGGACGCATTGGGGGAAGGTAGTGTACATCCATTCACCCAACAATTGTTAATCTAGGGCCTCCTCTGTGCCAGGAACTACTGCCCTGGAGGCAAGATCCCACTGGGGACTCAGAGAAGTGACCGTTCACCTGTACTCACAGAGCAAGGGCCCACAGTGAACAGCCCTCCATGCCTCCTCCCTCCCCAAGGAGGACTTAGTGCCCCTCAAAGAGAAGGTCAAGGCCTTGGGGGCCCAGTGTCCCATGGCCGAAATCAGGGCCCTGTGGGCGGGGCCAGGGCCCCTCACGGAGGGAACCAGAGCGGGGGTGGCTTCGGTGGCCCAGTGGGCGGGGTCGGAGCGGCTGAGTGGGGGAGGGGTGCCCGGAGTCGGGGGTCTCAGCTACGCGCCCCGCGTGCAGGGCCGTCGGTGGGGTCGGCGTCTCGGTCCCCGGGGGGCGGCGCCTGTCACCTCCCGGCTCCGCGTCACTGAGGGGGGCGGCGGCCCCCAGCACCGGCCCGCCCCGCGCGCCCGCCCGCCCAGGGCCCCGCACTTACAGCAGGTCGGGCCGGTGCCGGTGCAGGATGGCGCAGAAGGCCAGGCCGTCCCGGAAGGAGCTGCTCAGGTCGCGGATCTCCACGCCGCGGTAGCCCTCGCACTGGCGGCGGCACCAGGCCAGCAGCGCGCCCCGGGGCCCCGCCATGACCCGCGGGGGCTCGGCCGGCTCCGGCTCCGGCGTCGGGTCCCGGCTCGGGCCGGGACGGCGGCCGCCGCGCGGGCCTGATTTCCGGCTGCGGCTGCGGCGCGGCCCCGGCGCTGCTCCGAGCTCGGGGCCCCGACCGGCGGGGCGCGGGGCGGGGCGGAGGCGGGGCCGCGGCCTCGGTGTCCTCGCCCGGGCTCGGCTCGGGGTCCCGCCTGGCTGCCTGCCGCCCCCGCCCGGCCCTGCCCCGACCTGCCCGAGCGGCCGCCGCCCCGCGTGGCCCGGCCCGGCCGGCCGCCGCTTACTCACCGCGGCCCGCTGCCCTCATTGTGGGCGGGCCCCGGGCGCGGGCAGCCAGCCGCCTCCGTCCCCGCCCGGGGCCCGCCCGCCGCCGCGGGGGAGCGGGGAGGGGGCGGCCCGGCGCCCCACCCAGCGGTGGCTCCGCCCCCAGACGTGGACCCCCTTCTCCCCCCAAAAAGGGCCGGACACCCCATGATCACCCTTCTCCACGGTGAGGCCCTCAAAGAACTCTGGACCAGCCCCTGGAGTCCCCGCCACCGCAACCTAGCCCCTCCCCGCAATGACTTCCCCCGCCTCCGCCCGCACCGGACCTGCCGCCCTCCTGGACCCCTAGCCCCTTCAGAGACAGGACACCTCCCTCTTGCTCCCATCCTGCCTCCTTCCCACTCCTAAAGACTACAAATTCCCCGACTCGCCCCTGGCCTGAAACTCTGGGAAGACAGTCCCCCTGCAGACCCCAAAGCACTCCCGGATGGCCCCCAGCTTCCCTCACCCAGTCGCACAGCTCTAAAGCACCCCTGAGCTCCTGGAAGTTCCCACTCCCACATCCCCCACCCCAGTGCCTGCCAGGGAGACCCAGGCACCCCCTCCCCCGTCAGTCCAGGTGCCCACTCAGCGATGTATTGAGCCCCACAACCCGCGGTAGTCTTGCAAAGTCCCCTCGCTCCTCCCCACTGGGACCCAGGTCCCCTTCAGCCTTGATTAGAGTGGTGGTTGGTTGGGCTCCTATGGGAAGGACCTAAAAGAAGCGGGGCCGCAGGGCATACAAGCCATCCACATCTGGCCCTGGAACCTCCCCAGCCTCGTTCCCCATCTGCTCTTCCCTTCAAGACCCCCACCAGCCCACCCTTTGGCAGAGGCCTCTCCCAGACTCTCCCTGCAGATGAATCAGCCTCCATCTGCTGCAGAGGTGGTGATGTCACTCTGACCAATGCAATAGCTAGCTGGAATGGGTCTGTCGCTCCCAGGAAGAAACAGGGTCTTAGTCATCTTCATCACCCCTCAGCACTCAAGAGAGTGGAAAAAACAGGGATTTTGCAGTCACATCCATCCAGGCGCAAATCCTGACTGTCCCCACTCAGCCATATGAGCTTGTGCCTCCTGGACCTCAGTTCCCACATCTTAAAAATGGGAAAATAAAAGTGGCTGAGAGGATTAAGATATAAAGTGCCTGACCCTTTCATCACCCATAAATTCTAACTCTCGATACCTGGTAAACATGTGATGAAATGGATTGAAACGTTCTGTACCCAGCTTGTCACCCGGGCCTTTTTGGGTAAATTATGAATGAGAGAGACTGACTTGGGGCATTTTACCCTCTCAGAGTTCACCGAGTCCCAGTCCAGAATACAATCATGACCCAGGGCCTGGGGACCCGGCTTGCCAACCTGGCCCAGCCTCACACCCCGGGTATATCCAAATCTGGAAGGCCATCTAGGCCCAGAATGTGGACTCTCTCAGGGCCTAGGAAGGGGCTGCCATGGCCCGACTGCAGCCCTGCACTGCCACCTCCTGCCTGTTTCCTGGGGGAAAGCAACCCCAGGAAAGCAGAATTCCAGGTGCTTTCATTAAACTAAGGACTTGGACTCATGATCCTGATATCGGCATCCATCTTGACCTTCGAAGACCACCCAGGACTCTCATTGAAACCCAGGAGGGGTCACACCCGTGTCCTTATCAGCCTAGGACCCTGAAGACAGGTCCAGATCTAACCTTGATCCCATTGCCATAATAATAGCTTGCACAGCCCAGCCCTCAGACCCCATTAGCCATTTGTGGGCTTTATAAACTCATTATCTGAGTCAGCTCACCGTGCTATGAAGTCAGGACCTGCATGACTACAGCTGTGTGACTGCAGGCCAGGCAACTCACCCTGTGAACCCCAATGTCCTACCCCATAAAATGAGAGTAATAATCTTTGTCTTGCCTGCATCCTAGGGTTGTGGGTGATCAGGTGAGATAATGAACGTGAAAATGCCGTGCAGACTGTAAATCCAGGGTTCAGGTGGAAGGTGGGTCTGTGTTTATAGGTGAGGTCAGAAGCCACAGACAGGCAAATCAGGCCACTTGCCCAAAATCATGCCATAATTTCGGGATTAGGACAGGTCGTCTTAGGCCCTTGATTCAGTGCTTTTCTGTTTTATTTTTCAACTATCAATTAAGAAGTGAATATACTCTTGTCAAAAATTTAAAAATAAAATAAAGCTCAAGCTCCAGCTTGACTGTCTCCCCCAGTCCCAGTCCCTTCCTAAGAAGTAGCCTCAGTTGGCAGTTTGAAACATCCTTCTAGGCCTTGTTCTTGCATTTAGAGTCAAGCATGGATTCAACAAATATTTACTGAGCACCTGTGGGGCTGCACAAGACAAGGTTCCTGCCCCCGTGCAGCTAACATTCTAGCGGGGAAGACAGGCAATGAACAAGTAAAGAAATGAACAAGAAGTCCAGATGGTGATAGGTGCTGAGACAGGGAATGATGGGGACAGACAGGATAGCCAGGCAAGACCTCTTTGAGGTGGTGACATTTGAGCTGAATGACATCTTGCTCCCAGGAGAGCAAGTTGAATGCAAGCCGGTGGGAGATGTCATTACAGGTAGAATTTGAATCCTTTCAAAATTTCTTCCAACGTAACAGCTACAGGTGTTCCAGGAGTGGGCAGGATCGTGGCAGGGAAGTGCTGGCTGGTCTGGTGAGGGAGACAGGCCCGTAAATAACTGCATATGGCATAATAAGGAGCAAGGAAAAAGGAAGCCCAGGGAACAACGGGGTCAGGGAGGGGGGAACCCAGAGGAGGCCCGTGATCAGTTTGGGGCAGGGTGTGTGCTTTCCACTTACCGTTCTTCAGGCCAATATGCTTTGCAGGAGGGCTTTGAAGGAGGGAAGTACCAAGGAAAGATGAAAAAAAGAACCCATTAGAGGTGGAAGAAGTTAGCATTTAATGAGCACTGGTGGGAATGAATGTGTGAATGAGTGAATGAAAGGCCAGGACCCATGGTGTACATTTATTTTCACATACAGATGTCCAGCTGAATTTTGGAAAGATAAGAGGAAGAGGGATATCCATGGAGGGGACCTGGAGAGGGTTTGGGGGAGGGAAAAGAATATCATTACTGCCCAGGAAACTCTGGCTGTTGGGTCTGGCCACTGGATTCTGCACCTGTTCAGAGGCCCATGGGCTACTGGTATCTCAGAGCCAGAGGCAGATGTGTGTGTGTTCCTGGGGGTGGGAGGACATGCCTGGCTACCCCATTTCACCCACCACCTACTCTCTTTCCCACTGACTTGCTGGGAGACCCTGGACAAGGATGTCACTTGACCAAGCTTCAATGTCAACATCTGTAGAAGGTGAGGATTTGCCCACTCTGCGATGCAACAGGCCTGTTTGTAGGATTCTGTCCTCCAGATATAATATTCCAGGGGCCCCAAGATGTATATACAAAGACGTATATTGTTTGCTAACAGCAAAGCACTGGAAACCACCTGAATCTTCATTAGTAAGGGGCTGGATGATCAAGTTTCAGCTCAGCTGGGCAACAGAAAACCACACAGCTGTTAGAGAGAATGTCATAAAAATACGTCCTCAGAAGAAGTGAAAAAAGCAAGCTGCAGAATAATAGATATAATAGGACCCCATTTTTGCAAAACACACACAAATATATATATGTATCATGCGTATGTATTTAAACACTTACGTATACACATAGATATAGAATTTTTAGCATCAGGAAGAAAGTATACATTCCAAATGCCATCAGTGGTTAACTTTGGGGCTATGGTAGACTCACTTTTTACATATTTATGGTTCAAATTTGTAACATTTAGCAGGTATAACTTCTTAAAATAACAGCTTAATTGAGATATAATTCACATACCATAAAATTCATGCTTGTAAAGTGTGCAATTTAGTGGTTTCTCATATATTCAGAGTTGTGCAACCATTACTGCTATTTAATTTTTGAACATTTTCATCACCCAAAAACTATGTACCCATTAGCAATCACTCCCAATTTCAATCTCTCCCCTACCTGCACCCCTACCTCTACTCCAGCCCCTGGCAATCACTAATCTATTTTCTGTCTCTATGGATTTGCCTATTTTCAACATTTCATATAAATGGAATTGTATATACAATACGTAGTCTTTCTGACTGGCTTTTTCACTTAGCATAATTAGCTAGTATAACTTTATTTATTTATTTATTTATTTATTTATTTTATTTATTTATTTTTTTTTTGAAACAAAGTCTCACTCTTTTGCCCGGGCTAGAGTGAGTGCTGTGGCATCAGCCTAGCTTACAGCAACCTCAAACTCCTGGGCTCAAGCAATCCTTCTGCCTCAGCCTCCC